TTTGGTGGGCGTCTGTCTCACATGTGCCATAAAAAAAGAAGTTAAAGTTTTACAATTAACCACAAAAATAAGTGAAATATTTGTTGTTCAAGGAATGTTTTTGCCTGCTGCCGTACAAAAAGGGATTGAGAAATGTTTGCCCCACGAAACTCGTCGCCAGTTGCCATCTATGGCAAGGAGGATGTGGCAGCCTATGAGGTAAAGGTCGTTCCACATACGGACACCAGAACCAGTGCGGAATACGAGTCTACTTGTATGTAGATGGAATGAAATCGGACTGGAGACTGGCGACAACTTTCATTTGAAAGCAAGTTCTGTTTTCTGCCGCCTGACTGGGCTTTTCTCTTTCTTTTTCCTCGCTTTTGCATATTTGCTAAAGCAACATCCGTTTAGATATAACCAGAGCTACAGTTAGATGGAGATATGTATGTGTATCTGTAGCTGTATCTCTGTCTGTCGTTGAAACATTGTTGCGGCCCACATGGAGCCTCTGGACCTGGTCTTGGCCGCCGCATGATTCACATGTGGCACACAACATTTGTCTCCGCATTTGTAATGGATTTGTGTGGTTTTCTACTCCCGCTAGCCGCTAGCCACTGCGTTGCATACATTTTGTGCTGTTGTTGCTGTTGTTGCTGTTGGGATCTAAAATTGTTTTGTGCCTGCCTCTGGTAATTATAGGCAATTATGAGTCTCGGCTGCTGTCGGCAGCTTCTAAAAGCTTCAAGGTATTTCAATATCGGTAGCTTTTGTATAACTCTAAGGAATCTCAATACCAGCAGCTTCGAAAAGCTGTAAGGAATCTCAGCATATCGGTCGATTCTTAAAGCGTCTCAAATGGCAAACAAAGTTCCATCTATAATTCGTTTGTGTTGGCTTTGGCTCTGGTTTTTGGCTCTTCTTTTCATAGTCATAAACATTTTGCTCACGTAATAGCATTGTAGATACAAATGTATCTATGCGGGTACCTCGCCTATTGAGCTTCTATTTGTATGTAGGTCTTTTTTGTACCATTTGTTTGTTTGCTTTGTTATGAGGGCCATGTACGAGGGGGAGCGAATAAGCCGATGAAAGCCAATTGCAAATGCTCAAAGCGTGGCCGAAAGAGAAGATTGAAAGCAAACATAATTCTATACAAAAACTGGCAGAAAAAAGGAGTACGAAAATATTAAATGATTAAAACATTAACTAAAAATACATCAATCAAGCATCAAAAATAAAGTCTGTTTTTAGTCGGAAACAAATTGCAAGAAATAAATCCAAACCATAAATCAAACTCTAAATTATGCTAAAATTTCTCAAGTTAACATAATTGCAATTTATATTCATTTCTGAAGCCAAAAGAAGCACCAAAGAATCTATTTCTTTGGGCTGACTTATCAGTATTTCTATAATTCATGGATTAATTATTCAAGAATGAAAATCTTTTCCTGCTCCGCCGGCGCTCGCTCTTTTATTGATTAAAATCGGGTAGGCAATTAAGCAGGCTCTTGTTTTTGTAGCCAAATCTTCGGCCAAGACTTGATGGAGGCGCCACCAGTTGGTCGGTAGATGGTATTTTTGGCTGCTGGAGTGTAACCGAGCCAACCATTTGCGGCATGCCATGTGTAAATATAATTATTAACGAACATGGTTTTTATTATAAATATTAATGTAATTTAACTGGAGGCCTGCTGCAATTACAGCCAGCCAAAAAGGCAACCCAAATTCAAATTCGTTTGAAAAACTTCCTCATTTTGCAGTAAAGTTCGGTTCTCAGCCATTTGCATAAATAAATCTTTTTGCGATGGCCTCTCTCTCTCGTGGGGGCTTTAAGGTAAACATTTTCATTGCGTGATTGTGTGGATTCTTGGTTGACACCTGTCCATGGCAAATATTTCAGCTTACTTTGTGGCCTTTCTGTCAGCTGAAGTGGTGGGCAGCAGAGTCAGAATAATCCATGTGGATCCCATGTGGGTAGCTATAGAATTTGGCCAACAATCCGCTGCAACTGCTGCGTGCATTGAACTCGGGTCAAAACAATAAACAGCAGCAGCACAAACTTCATGATTATCATACATCACACAGACTCACAGACTACAGACCACTGGCCATTTCATTAACACAGTCCGGGCATTGGGCCAAAAGCCACTTGACCGAAAAGTAATTTGGCTTGTGGGCCACAGTTTTCTGTGCTTCTTGACCAATTTCTGCTGTTTTGCTGTCATGGCCATGATTTCGTCACTCCATTGGATCTCGATCCCAAAGCCCCGAAACGAGTCAACATTAAATAATAATTAATTACCATTCAACTGCCGCGTCTGTCACACAAAATGGAAATTTCAGCTCTCGGCTGCTCACAATAAATTTCGCTGCTAAACCAAATTTGTAACAAAAGAATGTTTGCTGAATGTTTTTTGTTTTGTCTGTGAGCCGTAGCCGTTCTTTTTGGCAACACCCAAATCCGGCTTTGATGGATGGCGTGTGTTGACTTCCGTTTCCAAAGTAAAAATGTGTAAAATTAACGATTTTTTAAATTCTGTTGGACTCCGGAGGCATCTGTTTTCCTCCTTTAAATAGAAAATAGATAAGAGTAAAAAACCAGATAGAGTGCCAAGGATTTTGAATGATTTGGATGGTTAATATCTGTGAATATTTTAGAAAAAACGTAAACAAATCTGGTTTAAAGTGCAAAACAATAAAGATTAAAATAGAAAAAATTATAAAATACTATTCCAATAAATTACGAAATTACCATAAAATATTAAAAACGAATAAAGATTTCATTAAACTCAGTCCTATGCTTACATAAATGTGTGAAATATTTAAAAAATTGAAGCAAATAAAATTACATACAAAATGAAAAAAAAAAAAAAACCTGCTGAAATCCCAAGAAACCCCTAGTGAGTTGGTTTGCATGTGCTCTATGGCAGCATCTGCTTTTGCTTAATTATCATTTCGAAAACAAATTGAAGCTTACGTCCCGCACCTGCCACGCAGTTGCAATCAATGCTCATGGAACTGGTTGCGCATACGCCCCGTAATTGTTTCTCCGTCTTTATTTTCATAATTCCCTCAGACACTCTCCCTCTGGATCTCTGTCGCTCTCTTTCTGCCACTCAATCGCCACTTGAGTGAAATCGATGCCACTTGGTCATGATTTCTGGGGGTGGCATACTGTTCGTGGCTTCTATCATTATCATTATGCAGCCATGGTTAGCAGATTTGTTCATTGTGGCCATATTTTAGTCATGCTCAGAAATTTGTTTACAATTTCACGGCATATTATTGTCATTAAAAATGCAAATATTCGACTGAGAGAGAGATACAAATACGAAGAAACACTGCGAGAGAGGGACAGAGAAAGCGAGAGGTGTGAAACCGGTTGGGATAGATCGACCTTATGCATTAAGATATAGATTTTAAAGGCTGCGTATGCGTTGGTGTGACTGTTATTTGCTTAAGTGAAACAAGACACAATAAAATGATTCTCGTAGTAGACAAATACTCTCTGCCTCTCTCTCGCTCGAGATGATCTCAGCCTGAATGTATTCGCTACTTTGTATCTGGGGTTCTGCGACGCAGATCATTCAAGTATCTTTCGGATGCTCTCTGTGCATACGACTATGAGCGCCCGCATCGATGGAAGTGTTTTTTTTTTTATGGAGTGCCTTGAAACCAAGTGAGATCGCCCACTCAATGGGGTGTACTAATCATTGTCTATATGTGCTACAAGTATTTTCTACATATTCAATGAATGCGGTAGTCAGTGGAGCAGCGGCGTACTTCAACCTGACTCTTGCACTTCCTTTTCAAAATAAACAACCTGTTCGCTTGCCACTCCGTTCTGTTCTATAGTTCTGTACGCCCCTTAATTGTTATGGCTATTTCGTGCCTCTGTTGCTCTCTGTTTTTTAATAACCCATAACTTATTGTAAACGCTTGGGCAAGATCAAGGTGAGGCTCTCAAGTGAGGCGTAACAGCTGCTCTGCTGTTCGGCGCTGGCGGCATTTATGAACATAAATACAAACGAAATACAAAGAGCAATAGTTGTTTTGTTTTGTTTTTAATGAATGAAATCATTAGCGGGTTGTACGTTTCTGAAGTTAGAAGTGTGCAAAATTATAAGCTAGTCAGAGAATTGTTGGGGAACAAACCAAAAGGCAGCGTAAAAATGTATTCGCTCGTTGAAGAAAGTCTGAAGAAAAATATTCAAATGGAGCAGAGATAAACTTACGCCTTAAATATTTGTGTTATTTATTCTGAATAATTAATGCATGTAACTCAATTTGTAGGAATATTCATTTAAATATACAGAAATACCTTAAAAATTATAGTTTTAATTGGAAATTCATTTTAGCCGATGCACTCATTAAATGAAAATAATCCACTGAGCAGAGTTGGACCTTTCTTTCCTCAATTATGAATATATTATGAATCATGAAACCCCTTCTGGTCCGCACTCGGCACTGGCAGTGAAAATAATAAAAAATGTCTTTGCATTTCCGCTGTGGCTGGCCGCTCTTTGATTGCCTTTTGATTAAATCAACCTCAAACTTTCTCCCCCAATCAAGTCAAATGTTAACTCAAGTTTATTCACAAGCCAATTGATTATTATGGTAAAAATATGATTGGAAAATCATGTTAACATATGTATAGTGTGCAGCGAGTGCTGCGGCATTGCTGTTTCGTTTTTCTCATGTTAATGTTGGTGGGGTTTATGTAAGTCGTATAAGGCTTTGGGTTTTGGGATATGCAAACAACCCCAAACAAAACTAACAACCAGACAAATGTGCGAATTGTGTGCGTTAGCAATTCACACAACAAGTTGTAGTTTTTTCTTTTAACTGAATGTTGGGCAAATATTACGAATGGTTCAATGTTCCACAATCTACACACCAGAGCGACCTTGTCTGAGCCAAAAAAAAACAACAACAAAAAACGAATATCTTACCACATAAGAAGAAGGGAACTAATAGTGATGCAATATCTAATGATTTCTCATGTTCTCTATTTGCAGATAAAACTCAAAAAAGTCTTGGGTCTGACTGTGTGCAGCAATGCGGCGTTGGATGTTTCACCAGTCAGCGGCCTCCTGGCCTATCCAGCGGGGTAAGGAAATACTTAAAATTAAAGGAAACGCACACATACGCAGCCGTGGATACCTCATTTCCTTTTCCTTTGGCCTCGAAAGAGAATCCAGTTCCGACAGGCAGAAGGTTGCATTTTGTTTTTCCGAAAGTGCAGTGAAAATTGTTGATTTAATCTTTCTCCCGACTGTCATGCATGGCTGCCTTTTGACATACGAGCGGAGGAAAATTCAGTTGATGACATTTCAGTGACAGAAACATGCCAACCGAGAGAAGAGAGGGTAATAGGAGCCACAGGCAAGGAGGTGACATAACGTCAGCTGGTTACACATTTAATGTCAATGAACAGAGAGTCCCCTCCCGAGAGGATTTGCATATGTCACTGAACATATTTGCTCACAATTGGCTATTACGTTGCGTACCCGTAATATGCATAATAATAATAATAATAATCAATGACAGATTGATTAAGCGGAGATACGCAGCAGGAGAATGCGGCAGGAAGTGTCTAGTGAATGACAGCTGCAAATTGGGATTAAATAGAGCCGGGAAAGTCCCTAAATTGGTTATCTTAGGACACCAATACTGTCAACAGTTGCAATCAATTAGCTAGGTTTATACACTGATCCATTTGAATTCGCTTTTTAGCCGCTTTCAATTGCTCTTTTCTTTTCTTATCTGTTGGCACATTTCTATGCCAGTAAATTAAGCTCTGGAATTATACCAATTATGTGCATTAACAAAAAATGTATGCAGAGCTGCTCTAGTGTGTCTCAGCACACAATTTGCAGTAGGAAAATAAATAGAAAATGTTGAGCGCAGAAATGTTGGCGGCTTCAACAACGAATGGGAAATGCTCTGGCATTAGAGATGAGGGGAAAACTTAATGATACAAAAATGTATACGAAAGGTTATAGCTCTTATAGCTTCTAGTTATATATTCCCCAAATACTTTTAGCATACACTTTTATATGGAACCCAATTTATTCTTCCTCGAAGCTAATGACACAAGAATGTTTAGGGGGAATTCCACTGCTCTTAGGGTATAAAACTACATACACAAGTGAAAGATGTGGGCGTGATGTTCTCATTAACGTTGAACAACAACAGAAATAAAGCTGCCTGAAATAAAACCCAAAGAGCAGCTTAATAATGAGGCAGACGGCAGGCAGGCAGCGGAGGAAGGCAGGCAGTTAGCTACAGTAATAAGAGGGTTAAACGGAGGCAGGAACTGGTTGAAGGGCAGCACATGGGCGGGCACGGTGCTTTCGCCTCGTCGCCTCGCGAGCCAAAAGAGAAGGCAGAAAGGACGCCAGCAAGGCCTGGGCTATCCTTGGGCATTTTAAATGTGTAACCAACGTTTACCCTCTGCCTTGGTCAAGGACATCCTTAAAGGGTCACCGCCAAAATGATTGTGAAAGAGAGAAATGGCAATTTATTTAATGAAACAAATATTCCCCCCAACTGATTGCAAATTCTGACTTTCTTTTTCGCTTGTTTACAGCTGCACTGTGGTGCTGTTCAATGCCAAACGTCAGACACAGGCCTATCTGGTCAATACCTCCCGCAAAGCATTCACATCCGTCGCCTTTTCGCGCTGCGGCCGCTATGTGGCCACCGGCGAATGTGGCATCAATCCGGCTATCAAAGTCTGGGAACTGGAAACGCCCAATGGCAATCTGGAGCACTGCACCGGTGGCAGTGTTATTGCCGAATTTGTGGATCACAAATATGCCGTCACCTGTGTGGTAAGTTGACAGATAGAACGAACGCATCGATATTAAATCCCGAAATCAAAAATTAAATTCCCCTTCGATCTGCATTCATTAATCAATTAATTAATGTCTATCTCTCTCTCTGTTTTTAGGCCTTCTCGCCCACGGGAAAGTACCTGGTTTCAGTTGGCTCACAGCACGACATGATCGTAAATGTGTTCGACTGGCGGGCCAACCTTAAGATGGCCTCGAATAAGATTAGCTCCAAGGTGGCTGCCGTTTGCTTTGCCGAAGATGGCACCTACTTTGTCACCGTGGGCAATCGTCATGTCAAATATTGGTACTTGGAAGGTGTTCGCAAGGTAAGTGCTCAGCATGAAATATTCCCAAAGAATTTGTAATTAACGATCTCCATTTCAGTACAAAGATCCCATACCACTGATGGGACGCAGCGCTATTTTGGGTGATTTGCGTGACAATGATTTCTGCGCTGTGGCCTGCGGCAAGGGGATCTGTGCGGAGAGCACGTATGCCATCACGAGACAGGGCCATCTGGTGGAGTTTAGTTCGCGGCGATTGCTGGACAAATGGGTGCAATGCCGCACCACAAATGCCAATTGCATTTGCGTCAACGAGCGCTTCATACTCGTGGGTTGTGCCGAGTCCATCATTCGGATATTCAATGCGGCCACGCTGGAGTATGTGACCACGCTGCCGCGGACCCATTATCTGGGCGTCGATGTGGCCCAGGGCATACAGATCAATCACATAATGTCGGTGCCGCAGCAGGCCAAGTTTCCCGACTGCATTGCCATGGTGTTCGACGAGCAGCGATCGAAGGTCAGCTGCGTCTACAACGATCATTCGCTGTACATTTGGGATCTGCGCGACATATCGCGTGTGGGCAAATCGCACTCGTTCCTGTATCACTCCACGTGCATTTGGGGCGTGGAGACAGTGCCATATAATCTGGAGCGAGAGCCATCGCAAACGCTGCCGGAGGATTGCTTTGTGACCTGCTCCTCGGACGACACGATACGCGTCTGGGGCCTCGATGGATGTGCCAACAATGAGATCTATCGCAAGAACATCTACTCCAAGGATCTGCTGAAGATCGTCTACAGCGACGACGATCTGCAATTCATCAAGGACCAGGGCTGCTCCTCGCTCTCTGACAAGACGGGCAACTCCTCCTACGACGGCCGCAACGGTGTGCGCTGCATCAAGATCAGCCCGGAGCTGCAGCATCTGGCCAGCGGCGATCGTTGCGGCAACATTCGCGTCTACAATCTGGTCAATCTCAAGCTGATAACCACCATCGAGGCACACGAGTCGGAGGTGCTGTGCCTGGAGTACTCCAACGATAAGATTGAACGCAAACTGCTGGCCAGTGCCAGTCGCGATCGGCTGATACACGTCTTCGATGTGGCCCAGAACTATCTGCTGCTGCAGACACTCGACGATCACAGCTCCTCAATCACTTCGATCAAGTTTGTGGGCGCTGGACTGAACTTCCAAATGATTAGCTGTGGCGCAGACAAATCCATAATGTTCCGTAGCTTTCAGGTGAGTTTTGGCATCAATATTTGCTCAAAATTATTGTACTTATTATGAAAATTCTCTCCCGCAGGGCAACATCTTTATGCGAGGCACCAATACCTCGGGCAAGACCACGCTCTATGACATGGAAGTGGACTCGAATTCCAAACATATCCTCACCGCCTGCCAGGATCGCAATGTCCGTGTGTATGGCACACAGAATGCCAAGCAAACAAAGACCTTCAAGGGCTCTCATTCGGATGAGGGCAGCCTCATTAAGCTCAGCCTCGATCCCAGCGGCATCTACGTGGCCACCTCCTGCACGGACAAGACGTTGGCCGTCTACGACTACTATTCCAGCGAGTGCATGGCACGAATGTACGGCCACAGTGAGCTGGTCACGGGCTTGAAGTTCACCAACGACTGCCGGCACTTGATATCGGCCAGCGGCGATGGCTGCATCTTCATTTGGCAAGTACCGCACGACATGATTGTGACGATGCAGGCCAGAATGTCACAGCAGCGTCTGCGCTCCGGTCATGGCCCATTGCCGCGTCCCCTGGCGCCCATATCCCCGCCCGAGGGCATTGTGCTGGAGTCGCCCACCAGCGAAATCGAACAGCCGCAAATGGTGCCGAAATTCGCAGTGGCCGACAGGCTATCGGATGTGGGACAGCTGCCGCAGTGGGCTATGCGTAAGGCGGCAGCGGGCGGGGACTCCGACAGCGGTGCGCTGTCCATACCCACGCCCAGTGCCCAGGGAGTCTCGGCCTCCATACCTGCCATGCATGCGGCCTCCTCGATGGGCAATCTCAGCTCCTCGCCCAGTCAGCAAATGGGCATGATGGCGCCTCGGGCACGTGGACGCTGGGCGCAGCGTAGCAGCCAGCTGGAGGCGGATGATCTGCGCTCCAATTCGGAGAGCCCACTGGGCACAGTCTCTTCCGTGGGCGGCCATAGCGGCGTGAATTTGCAGACGTCGGACTATAATAGTGCCTCGTCGAAGGACATCATGTACAATCAGACATATCTCAGCGAGGACTCGTCCATCGATTCGGGCATGGAGACGCGCCGCGGTGAACTCAAGTTCATTGGCAGCAGCAACAATGGCACCGTGACCGTCTCCGTGTCATCCTCCTCCTCCCTGGCGACGGCCAGCAACAGCAACGGTGCCATGGCAGCTGTCGGCGGTGGCCAGCAGCGGCTGCAGCTGCCCGACAAACGGAAGCCCGGACTGCGCTTCGATACGCCGCATACCCACGATCACGATGGCGATGTGGAGGACATTTCCGATGGCGAGAGAACCAGCTCCGACCATGGAATGTTCTACAATAATCTGGCGCCCAGCACGCCCACGTAAGTCGATCGATTTATTCCCAGTTTAAGTTCTAAATTTAATGAATTTTCTCTTGCCCCGAATAGTGACTTCAAAGTGACGGCCATGAACGAGGATGAACTGCGGAAGTCCGTGCGACGACAGAAGTTTGAAAAGTCCGGCCTGCAGCTGCCGACGGCCAGTGGCAATGGCAGTTCCCACACAGCCAGCACGGGCACGGGCACTGGGACATCGGACACCGAGGATGAGGGCTCCACGCCGAGTGCCGAGAATGCGGAACGCTCGCTGGCCTCCACTCTGGGTGGCAGCAATGAGAATCTGCCGCAGAGCAGTAATAGTTTTCTCCATGCAGCTCTGCCCGAGGGACCCGGACTGTCGGCGCCCCTGGAGCGTGGCACCACCAGTAAGCGGCAGCGCCTACCAGTTCCCGTCGAGTCCATTTCTCATTTCGTATTTCGATTTCTCGCCGCAGGTCGCCGCAGCATCAGTGCCAAGCACAATACGGAGTCGGGCAAGGGGAGTGTCGCGGCACCGCCCACCATTACCAAGTCATACACCAGCACCAAGAAGGAGGAGCTGCTGCAGGTCATCAACAAGGTCAAACAGCAGCTGGAGAATGTAAGTACAGGACGGAATCGGAAACGAGGACGATGACGAGGCCTGCCCTCTGCATCTGTATTTGTTTCTGTGTTTTATTATAGTCGCTGCTCCATGGGATATTTTTTGTGTATTTCCCATTTAATTTATGTATCTGTTTTCTTTTCCGTTTACTCTTTTATTTTTTATGTGTTGCCCCATCTTTTGTTTTTGGTGTCTGTCTCCCCATCAATCTACCATATATCTACCCCCCACAAAACAAAAACAAAAACACAACCCTTCCACCCGTATCCTATGTGTGTTTAGGGTACCCGCAAAAATGGCATCAAAAAGTTAAATTCTATAGCCGAGGTGAGCCCCGAAATGAGTTCGTTGTTCTGTTCTGACTTACCTAATGATGCTTCCCTCTGCCACACTTTGACACTCTCACAAATGCTTAAAGACTAATCAAATCAACAGCCAACATGACATTAATGGAGGGAAGGGAGGCAAATTCTCATTGGGGATATGCTTCTTTGGTTTTTAATTACTCACGTACATTTTCTTTAAAACAAAGATGCTTCCCTTTGCTGCTTTAAGGCATTTGTAAAATTAAGGAACAGTGTCAAAATTTTATTATCGAGAAGAGTTTAAAAAGAAGAAATGCCCCTAACAAAATGATCTTCTATATATAATGATGATATTTTTATGTGCTGCACTTTAAAGAAATCCCTATTTATTTGTTGATGGTTTTGTAGCCTGACGGATCTGTGATGCAGACTTTTAGATACTGATTCAATTCATTGAAAAATCGTTTAACAGCATTTACATTTGGAATCTATATCAGAAAGTATACAACTTGTATACAAAACATTCAAGTTATTCCCAAAGAGCTTTCGGAGACCATCAAGAGTTCCGATTGTAGTAAATTAGTTCATATGCAGATGCCATACGAAATATTTAATATAATCATTAGGGAAAGTTGTTATATTTCCTTTGCTGTATACATTAATTGTAACGTATTTGAAATTGAATTCCTATAATAATAACGAGACGAAAGTGCTCATAAAATATTTGGGAAAAGAAAGTATTTATGCCTTAAATAATAATTTAATTAGCTTATGAATAAATCGATAAAGCGATTCGATTCTTAAGCGATTTTAAAGCTTAGCAGTTAGGTGGCTTAGCGGACAGATCACGGGCAGACAAATGCAAGAACTAACTTGAGGCTAATTAACAGCTCAACACTAAATGTTCGAAAAGACATCTCTAAAATGTAGTAATTAATAGATCCAACTAAATATACATAAACTGTACTTCCACTAACATCAAAATTCCCAAAAAAATGCAATTAATAAGCAAACAAAAAGCGTGTTGAAATTATAATCATAATAAATTAATAAGCAAATAGCAAACAAAAAGATATTTATGCATCGGCCGGGAATCGAACCCGGGCCGCCCGCGTGGCAGGCGAGCATTCTACCACTGAACCACCGATGCTTGTTGAAAGTTTAACAAAAATAACACCAATGTTGCTCACAAAAGACTAGCTAGCCGAATAGTTGCTGCGTCTAAAAATAGTCAAACAAGAAATAAAAACAACTAAGAAAGTTGCTCAGTCAGATAAGCCGCCGAAAAACCACTCACACATCGAACTTTATGCAGTAAACTCAAGAGTGGGGAAAAGAGCTGACACAGCAGCCAGAAAACCACTCATAAAATAAACATAAACTCCCCAACCCACTCAACATAATCAAATTGAGCGCTTAACTAACTCAAACCTAAGTAAAAGTACTAATAAAATGTGTTCCATGTTTTGTTTTAATTGTTTCTAAATAATATAATGTTTAATAATGTACAATTTGTATACCCAAAGAAAACTAATCCACAAAACCTATCTAGATTTTGCATTACTAATAAAAATCTTCCCTTAATTTCTTTCCAAATAAACAGGTCGGCCATAGACCCCTGAGGGGTAGCCATAGCATATCGGATCTGAGTCTGGCTGGTAATCTGGATGGTTCAAGGACAGCGGGCGGTGGTCCAGGACGCTATACGAAGCCAGGTAAGGGATTGAAGAAGCCCCCAAAAAAGTTATACTCATAATCTCCAGCCCCGAAAAACCTGTTGTTGGAATGTAGAAGGCTAATTGTAACCAATAAACTCTCTCCCGTTGTTTGCTCTCCCCTTATCTCTCTCTCTCTCTCTCTTTTAATCTTGCTCTTACTATAAATAACTCTTTAAATATTGCTCTCATTTTTGTGCTCTCCCAATGTGGTAAAAATTGTTGAAATATTAAAACCAAATTCCTGCCCTTAAAATATTATATGAAACGTTGACTAACCCAATTAGTTGCTTCCCACGAAACTTCGCAGTATATTAGCTCCTCCGATTCACCAACAAATGCCAATACACCACCACCCAGTATTATTCAACAACAACCTCAACGATCTCAACATCACGCGTACCAACAGCAAACACATTTTGGCAGCTCGCAGCAATTCTTCAACTGTGCCGCGCCGAAATCCAAGCTGCAGCAGAATTTCCAGACCATGCGGCAAGTGCAACAGCACTATCCCCCGTATCCGCATCATGTGGGTGTGCATCAGATTCATCCGCCACCAGGAGTGCCCTTTGGAGGAGGTGGATCTGCCCATTCAATGCGAATGCAGACGCAGACTGCGCCCGCGAGGCAGGGTGTCAAGCGGAATCCGGCAGGTAACAATCGACGCACGCCCAGCATCCTGAAGCACTACAAGTCCTGTCCCGTGTCGCCAGTGCACGAGGAGGTGGAGTGGTCCGCGGAATCAGAGCGCGGTGGAATGATGACGGCAGAGCCCAAGCGACATTCAGTGTACGCAGATGATGCTCGAACAATATTGGACATGATCCATGCAGACACCGAGAAGATGATCGATGAGATCACGCGAAAGTACGGGGATCTGGACGAGATGCCAATGGGCGGGGGAGGTGGACTGCCCGTCTCCTACTCGATGCCGGCAAATCTGCGGGGACTGGGTTCCACGGGAGAGTCCACGCCCACACGCACCCAGCAGTGCACCTATGTGTATCGGGAGATCTATCAGTGTGAGCGAAAGGTTTCCCTCTCGGACATTCTGCAGCCGGAACAGTTTGCGGCTCGCGAGCAGCGTTTGGAGGAGGCTCGCTTCCTGGAGACGCAGCGTCACTCCAGCGCCAGTTTCTTCCTCAGCAGCTCCGGGCAGATGCCGCACGAGCAGAGCCAGGAGTCGCTGCTGTCCGATGGCGGCAGCTACTGCAACAGCCTGGAGAGTGTCCTCTCGGACGAGAGCGACTGCAAGAGTGCGCCGCTGGAGCAGGCTCTGCTCGAGCAGCGCCCAATGCAGGCGGCGGCCATGCAGCGGCATGCGGGCATACGGAACTTCATCATCCACGGACCCGTGTCCAAGTCGTATGGAAACAGTCCCAATGCCTATGGCAGCTTTGACTACTACATGAGGCAGGCGGCAGCGGCCAGAACCACAACGACAACGGCCACCTACGACAGCTTTGATGTGACAGGCTACAATCTGGAGCCACTGAAGCCGCTGCCCAACTCCAAAACATATCCGAGGATAGCACAGGGTCCGACCATGGATAACATACCCACAATGCGCTCCAAGAACAAGCAATATAATTCCGGTGTGAACAAATCGCTGAGCACAGACTTTGCCCAGCAGCGACAGCAGCGCAACTCCAATCCCATGCAGACCCGAGAGCCGCTGTTTGTGCGGAAACCTCTGAAGCCCAAGCCGCCAGTGCCGGCCAAGCCACAGAATCTGATGAGCACTTTAAGCTGCTTGGAGAAGCAGCAGCAACAGCAGCAGGCACAAAGGAAGAAAGCACAGTCCAGGACGGCCAGTGTGGTGCAGCAGTTTGAGCACAATCTGCAAAAGTTCGAGCGGGAGAAGCAGCGAGAGCATCAGCAGAGGCGACCGGCCATGAGGAGTTCGGTGAGCAGTGGAGCTCTGGCCGGCACACAGAGTTGCCTGAAGAAGGTCTCTCGCTTCGATACGAGCGAAAGCAGTCGGCGGGCAACCAGCATGAAGCAGCGAATGGGCAGGCCCAAGATCAGTGTGCGCTTCAATACGGTCTCACAGATCAAGTATACGCCGAGTGCGAAGAGAAACGCCAAGAACAACCATGAGGATGAGGATGTGCCCGAACTGGAGGTGGGTAGCCTGCCCAGTGATTATGGAGAGCGTAGCTTTGAGATGTACTTTGCGGAGAATGGAAATGCACCCGAGAACCTCGAACACATGCAGAGCCTCAAGCTGTACACGAAGCCACAGCTGCAGGCGGTGGTAGATGAGATTCAGCAGGAGCGTGAAAAGTATCGCAAGAACATGGACAATGCAGAGCGAAGCGGGGAGAGTGGCGGCGGCAATTCCACCAGCCATCAGTGCCAGAACATAGCCAAGAAGATCGACATAATCGAAAAACTCATTGCCATGGAGGAGCGCAAAATGGAGCAGATACGCCTGGCCACCGAGTCGCGAATGCGTCCCTTTAATTGCAACTCCAAGGAGAAGGGCTACGTGAAGAGTCTCACCATGAACTTTGATATGTTGGCCAGGGGAGAGCCACCAGACGAGGATCTGCTGGAGGATCAGGCCTCGCAAGATGCCGATTTGTGTGCCTATGCGAGGAATATGCGCAGGAATTGCAGCCTGCCGGATGTCCTGGAAAGTGCGGACTTTGCCTATCATTTGGGTGGCAATGGGAATGGCAATGGCAATGATGTGGAACTGGCCAAAGAGGTCGTTGCCGACGATGAACCAGACAACAATCCCATGGATATCGATGATGAAGATGATGATGCGGATGATGATGATCATCCTGATGATGGTGTTTTTATGACGGAGCAAGGTTTGAGACCCCAATTCCGTCTTGGTTGTTGTGTACCATAGAATCGCCTCTTCAGTTTCCACCCACCCACAGCACACCCCACCTTCATATTTTCCCCATTTTTTTGCACCCGTTTATGCCTAGTTTTGTGTTCCTTTTTGACCCAACCCCAACCACCCACTCTCCATACGATGAACGTGCACAGACAGATAACCGATAACACCCTTGGCATGTGTGATCCAACCAACTAATCGCTTGTCTTCCGAAAACCATTTGCAGGTAATCCCAAAACGCTCAATCCCATGCCCATCGAGGAGTCATCCATACGCCGAGCCTGCTCGCTGAGTGACCTGCACATGGGCAACTTTGGCAAGCGTAAGAAGACTCGAAAGAGTAACAAAACTAACCCAAAACTAATCTGTGATATCCTCAACCTTCTTCCTAACAGCAAGCAAATCAAATGGCACACCGCAAAAGCCTCAGGTTCAGCATCGCAATGGCAATGTAAACAGATCGGCCAGCAAACGCAACAGTCTGCAGGGAAAAACAGGGCTGGGTGCCTCCAGCAACTCCATGAATGTGCTCAATCAGGGTGTAAGTTGAGATTATAATAATAATATGATATGAAATAATAATTATGAATTTATTGGGAACTTTACAGAGCGACTCGGAGCCAGAAGACAGCAATCGGTTGCGCAGTGCCAGCAATGGACAGGGGCGCAGCAATGGACCCATAGGTAAGTCTTTGGAAATCAAACAGATCAACATAGATATTAAGTATTATGTTTTATTTTTCAGCTGCCAATCGACAGTACAGCAACAAGATAAACAATGCCAACAACAATCGTCGCAAGACGCCAAACTTTAGCAGTGGTTAGCAATACTCTCGTTCATTTGTATAAAATATATTAAACTTATCACACTCAATAACCGTTCCAGCCACACCCATGCAAGACGATTCCAGCTCCGAGGAAACGCCCAATAGCACCGTGAACAATAAGCCCATAGTGCCGCCACGACCGCGTAACTTGGCCTTTGATCACAAGAGCAAATTGATCAACAACGGCAGTCCCGTCGCCAACAAGCAAAGAAGTGGAGTAGCGACAGCAGACGAATATGAAGGAGCAGATCGTAAGTAAAGCCACATTAAAATGTGAAATAAAACCTAAAAAATAATTACTTTTTTCTTGTAGCTGAAGCCCAGGTGCACAATGTGATCAATAAACTTTATACGACAACGCAGGCAGCCATGCAGCTGCATGCCAACTTGAAGAATTCTCTGCTGTTGAAGGAACTGGAGAATGCATTGATCATGTCCAGGAATATGCTTAGCAGCATTCCCACAAATAGGTAGAGTAGCCAAAGAAAATGCATCATAATTCATGCTAATTCCCACCTTCTTTATCTAGACAAACTGAAAAGACAAATAATGGTGGAGGAGTGGGATTGGGAGGAGTTGGTGGAGGAACCAATTACGAGCAGCTGACAGCTGAGAATGGAGACTATCTGATGATGGTCAATAACTGTGCCGATCTATTGAGCAATTTACGCACGAAGCACAAACCCGATGACTGTGAGAATAACTCCTAGTGTGTAGAGCTTAGGCTAGACTAATCGAAGGCAGATCCGAAAAAGAACTGCGCGGAAGATACAACTAACTAAAAAGGATATTTATTTAACTAAATAAAACACTCTGGCAGAAGGCAAACAAACACACTTACACACAAGCAAAAGTAAATGCAAAACCAACCAACTAATGTGTAATTAATTCAAATTAACAATTAATTAATGTACACTTTTGCTTAGTTATTAGATCCGATAAGAATTCTGTTTCAGTTTTGTGTGCCCGTGTGTGCATTTCAATTTTAAACACTAATTTATATGGCAACAAAAAGAAGTCCGTTTAGCTTGGAATTCAATTCTATAAATGTTAAGTTTAATGAACAAGTTTTTCGTATGTGTTAAGTGTTATTTGAGTTTAAGGCGAGAATGTTGACAATGAATAACAGCGAATGAATATCGTATGTACTGCAGTGGTACCGAATTGTTATAAAGTGCGCTTACATATGCCTTCTTTGTATATGATTTTGTGTATTTGTAATCCATTATTTTTTTTGGTTCTGTTGTATACCCTTTGGATATTGTGTTTTGTGTGGATTAGTCAAAGGAAACATACATCCATAATGGCTAGAATTTTGTGTCAAATTTTAACGATATTCCAAAATTTCAATTATCCATAAATAAACTATGTATTGTATTGTATTGTATGCCTACTCCAAACATTATACACTTATGCCACACGATTATCAGAGTAATGCTTATGTGACAGAACCCTGCAGCCGAAGCAGTTTGAAAACATTTAAGCGAAATTTCCATTGAACGATTTCCAAGCACTTTGTTCTGTAATTATGCTGTAATAGTTAATTATTCGATTGTATTTACAACAATTATAACAATACCTATAAATATATGCATATACTATAATATATACAAACATACGACATGAACTTCTATTAGTCCTAAAATTTACATTACAATAATTTACAACTAAACGAAATGTATTAAAATTAACTTAAATTAGAACAAACCGACACTTACGATTAATTATGCTATCTGCTAAACTCAAAAACTAAACCTAAAACCAACAAACAACAAACAAGCAAAACAAAAAAACCAACAAAAAAAGAAATCAACAACAAACTAATTCAAAAACGAAAAACGAAAAATAATACATAATGCATAATTTTTGAAAACATTAAAAATTGCTTTTCTTCTTCAACAACTCCCCTCTCTGCCACTCTCTATCTCTCTCTCTCTCTCTCTCTTGTTAACCACTAAACCTTTTGGCCCATTTTGACTTTGTGCTAAATCATATTTTCGATTCTGCAACCAAGTTGATTGGGACGGAAAGGAGTCTTAACCCGGGGATAGATCTGGCCATATGCAGTCCGCATATGGCTGCTGGATCGACACGTAACGTGTATATAAACAAATATATATATTAGCATAGGATGGGTAGCGGCCAACACCAAATAATATCAAAGTACACATTTGATTAATACAACTAACTAACTGCCAAGGATCGTGTATTGTTTTTACGTTTAAGAGCATTGAAATCCGATTAATAATAAAACATAATTCAACGTTTACCGGAAGAAAAAAAACAAAGCATCGAATGACTTGCTGAAAGAAAAGGAATCGAGAGAAATAATTCTTAAAAAGAAAAGAAATCAACAACAAGATCGAAGCCCTTATGGGAAAATCTCTTCTCCATAAATCCAAATGCTTCGTTTTAAAACCTTCCAATCAAAAGGCAAAAAGCGTGGTACCCTTCTGTGAACTCCTTTTGATAGACCCAATTATATTCGTTTTAAAATTACCTTTAGAAAACGCCTGGGTCCCGTGGCAATCAGGACCCATTAAAGCTATCAAAAAGATGACCGGCCCAGCAGGTGATGAAATCGACACGCTCCACATGTGAGACTCAATAGACTGGCCGGTGCCTGCACGCTCTAAACTTTGCACGGATGGATTAGGTCGTACGTCCCCATTCCACACCATGCACAGAATGGGTGGGCATTGTGTGCACACCCAAGCTGAGGGTGGATGGGTGGGTGGTGGCTCACAATGTGAGCAGGCAAAAGTGCCCTGCGCGGTTGTTCAGTTCAGCGTTGAACCCGGACCAGGCGTCCGCCATTTGCCATTGATACTTTTGCCAGCCGTTGGGCTTCAATTAACTTGTGTCAATATTGAGCCAGGCCAACAACTTGGCCAATACGTGGAGGATGGGTTGTTGCCAAGAGGCAAGAGCGTAGATGGAATGTGGGTAAACTCATGCTACATGTTCTGCTTGATAACTCAATCAGACTGTGTGGCCCATGTTCAATGATGGATAGGTCGATGACTGCCAACTCCCAACCCCACGTAACATTGCAACTCTGCTTTCCTCATTTTCTCTCTCACTCACTCTACCCATCAGTTTTGGTCTCTTTCTGGCATTTATGTTTATGAATAATTTATGGCAGCGCCCAATCATGAGGCGAGGGAAAAACTTGTACACGAAATGTTTTCTATAAATGCCAGACAGACACGCCACGCCCTTGCCAACGAATGCCAACGAATGTCCTGCCACATCCACTCACTCTCTCCATTTAAAGCAAAAGGACACCCACGGCACTTGTTTTGTAGTCCACTTAACAGAGATGGCCGTGGAATTAAATGATTGATTTAAAGTGGAGGATTTGTGGCACCTGATGGGGATTTCGTTTCAATGCAAGAGTGAACTTTCAGAGACTAAATATTTGTACAATTCCTTCCACCAATTATATCTCCAATTAACAAATTTATTAAAATGTTACAAATTGCAATCCAATTTGAATGCAGGATCGCAGGTCCTCTCAAAAGATCACTTTGCAATCCGTAGACGTGTAGAAAAGCGATGAGGCACAGGCCCCGCTGCCATGGGTTTGTAAGTGGTTGTAATGTCGGGCCAGATATACCGTGGCGATGGGTATCAATCCCAGTAGTGCCACACAGAAGAAGACAACTTTCTTTTCGAACTTCTGAGGCACTGAGGCCGGCTTCTTAACAGACTCTGCCGCGATGATTATTCGTTTTCCGTGGCAGCAGTTACAGCAGCGTAACTCGTTGGCTAACTTCATCGTTTCGCTGCGTCTGTTAGCCCTTGCACTGGACATGGTCTTGAAAAGTCCGTCAAATAGCTTCTGCATCTCGCACATGATTGCTTGTAGTTGTTTTTTTTTTAATTTAATTTTTGTTTTGTTTTTTATATAAACCTTTTGGGTTTCTACAGTATTCAAAAGGTTGCGATGACCAAGGAAATTTTCAGAAACTGAATTACTGATGAAAACTGGCAGTCCGGAAAGAATAAAGGAATTCGTACCTATTTTTGACAGTTTTATTGAGTTTGTTCATTTTTCACTGCCTACTGTGTGAGGTTCTAAAATAGGTTTCCAAAGTGGCCTCTTGTTTACATACACTAAACAATTTTTATTGGCAAAATATACACTAATTATCCAGTAAGCCAATCAACATGAGTATGTAGAGAAACAGATGGACAACGTCAATGTAGATGGAGAGGGAAGCCAGCACGTAGTCCTCCTCACTGTACTGGTTCTTGTGTGTACCGCCAATCATCATCTGTATGTCCACCACCAGATACACCGAGTACACCAATATGCCAAGGCTGCAGTATATACAGAGCATCACGTGCGTCCGATAGAAGATCATAACTATGCCCATGATTAACATCACAAGAAATAGCACCAGCAAATAGGGACCACAGCCGGTGAAGTCGCAGGGAGCGAAGCGAGCGAACAGGGCCAGAGCAGCCACCAGGAGACACGTGTAGCCAAAGGCCATTAATACCTATATAAAAATACAGTAGGTGAGATTTATTGCATCTATTCCAGAGCGGGGGGACTCACCTGCGAGGGCAAGTATCGCATTGTTATGAAGGATAACGTTATGGATTCTGCAGCGACAAATATCGTAAGCAATATATAATTGATTGGCTTCTTGCGAAAAAGGAATGGGCAATAGCACACCATCATCAGAATTACCATCTGAATGCACAAGGCCACAATGGCCAGATACCAATGTTTGAGCAGCCACAATTTGGCATCGTCATTGGTCACAAAGATCGCCATAACCCCCGTTGTGGCAAGCAGCATAAACTGTGTGGTGCAGTGAAACGGTGCAGTTATCCATGTTGAATGTTGAATCTTTAACTTACTGCCGTTATGGTGCAGACTTTCATTACAAAGCTGCGCCTCGTCGACTTGTCCTCGAAGACATTGTTGTATGTCATGTCATTTGTACTGCTCCTCCCAAAGCAAGCCATCGTGAATGCTCCCCCTCTGTTTTTATTTACTTTATTCTTAATTTTGAATTTTTTAATTTTTGATTGTGTGACGGCAAAAAAATAGTTAACTTATTTGGAACGGCAGAGACTACGTTGCGATGAGGGAATTAACTCTTACTAAATGCCATCAGAGCTTACGGAATGAGTATTATTTAATGTTACGGATGGATGGATTTATTACATTTTCTGTCAGCATACTCTTAAAGTATTTAGTTGCTCCAATTTTTGTACAACTTCAACATCAGTGACTTTCAGTCTTTAGTTTGATAGGGCTTGAAACCTTTCACAGATTCTTCTTCTGGTCGCTATATATTTATTTTATTCGAACAATTCTTCAATCTATTGTAATTCAATGTTTTTTTTTTAGTTTAATGGCGTAATGGAACATTTTCCATGCCTTTTCGCTCAGTGTCTCTTCCAACTGCAAGACAGCAACCGCCTAGAATAAGTATCTACAGCCGCAGTCACAATTTGAAAGCACATGAAACTAATTAATGGAATGTCGGTGTTGCGGATTTTTGCCACGTAATGAGAGACGCCTCAATGCCCGGCAATATGCCGCTTTAGGACACTGAGAAGGAGCTGGCTTGAGGGGTAAGGAAGCTGCAGAGAACTCTGAGGCTAGATAAAGGCCATGCAAACCACTCGGATATTCAGCATATTCATAACTTGTCAGGCAGCACAAACTGGCAGCGGGGCGGGCGCTCTTTTTTTGTACTCAGGTGTGAATAAGCGTGTAAGAAGTTGACATAAAGCCGGCACGGGCGACTGACGACTGGCGGTACAAGACGTATATGGCCGACAGGCGACAGGCGACAAGCGACAATGGCAACAACAGGAAGGAGGAGAGCGCTCTGAAGCTGCATTGGAAGCCGCTGAACCGCACTAATTGAGCCGCGTTACGTTGAGTTGAATGCATTTCAATGTGTTGCCAAGCATCATGCAGATCCCATCATATATTGTCATCATTTTGTATCTTCTCACCTCGGTCCATAATGGGCCCGGGGCCCATGGGAAATCCAGCAACTGCTCTGACACAACCAGACTGACCCGAGACTTGAGACTCCCATCAGCTGCACTTGCTACATTTCGATTTGGATTACCATTACGGATATGTTTATTGTATCTGCAACAATGCTTTGGTTGAAATAAGAGCCGACACGAGCCTCTATTAAAGGTAAATACTATTTTTATTTTAGTGGAAATGTTTTTTGATGGTTGATTTCTTCATTTCCCAATAAATCAGAGGAAGTATTATAAAATATCCCTAGAGCCGTAATTCAGAAACTGCACATAGTTTTGGATATCTAAGAGCAACTGAAAGAACTTGTACACTCCAATCTCTCACAGTGTATCCTACCCCATACTTCAGACACACAAAAGAAACAGATACCAAACTATAAGTACTCATACTCATATATAGAATGCCATAATGCTCGCATCCTTAGCCCCCGTGGTTTCCTATTTTTTTTTTTTTAATGGCATCCAGCCATTGACATGAGGGACATGGGACATGGATAATATGGGACTCATTCGAAGCGTAGGAGGATAGAGTCGTGTCATAGTTCAGAGAGCGCGAGCGCGGTGTCGACACCTCGACAATTAACGACACAATTACCGAACAGCGAAGGTTCTCTGCTGCTCGTCGTCGTCGGTTGTCAACAGCTCGGGCCACGGCTCGGCGTGGGTTAAGTGTTTTTGCCAGCACATTGTCAGGCGGCAGCAGCCAGCAGGCAGCAGCAGTGAGTGATACACTTACATGGCCATTAAGATGGTGATGCCTTGTAATTGAAAGGAAAATGCAGCTTTAGCTTTTTAAGAAATTATAATCACAGCAGATTGCGCTCACAAGGAGCAGAGCACAGGCAGAGCCACCGCCAGAGTACAGCCGAGAGCTGAGAGATACCAAGATACAAAGCTGATAGGTCACAGCATTAAGCCAGACAATGCCCTGCTTGGCATCATCGTCCTGTCCGTTCGCGGGAAGATCCCCTCACTTAAGGGCGTAATCATAACCGGAAGAGATTACGCTGCAAATTCACGCTCGACTTGGACTGGGACTGCGACTGCTGGCTGCTGCCTGCTGGCTGTGTCGATGCTTAGCGGGGAGTGAGTAGACCCCTCCAGTCATCCATCCATCCATCCATCCGTCCTTCTCTCTGCATCCATCTATACCCATTGTTCTCTGCTTTTGTAGGTGATAAGCGCAGTCGTTGTCTGCAATTTTCATTTCTCCCCTCGCAATTTCTGCTGCTGCTGCTGCTGCTGCTGCTGCTGCTGCGGTTGCTGCTAAACAATGGAATTGGATTATCATTTTTTGTGTGTGTTTTGCGCTCGGGGGCGAGGTGCTCGAGTGCTTCGTTCAGACACATCTTCTTTTGCTCTATTTTGATTTTGATTTTCCTTATTCCTTGTTGCGTGCTTGAGTTGTTGAGGGCGTGGCCGCACCCTTAAAACGATACAAATTATTGATATGCAAAAATAACAAAAAAGGCGGCGACTTGGTTTGAAATAGTTATGATGGGTCTGATTTTTGTTGGCGCCTTGGGGAAATTGTTTATGGCGGGTAAACAGTTTTTATTAGATCAGAAAATAAATGTCATAAATATGGTGGATGTAATCATATTTGTGGGGTACTTAATTGGGGTTGTTTGGGGGCGGTACTTATGGTGGGAAACTTATTTGGGGTTGAGTAATTGAAGTTCTTGAAGTCATATTATGCTGCAAAAGAGTGGGTTGTGGATTACTACTATACTGACAATTATTTTGGGTGCCTAACATATTAGAATGGTATGAAAAAAACCAAAGTTAATAAGTTAATTCCACTCTACAATTCAGACTTAAGATAGGATTAAATGAGAGGCGGTTGGAGTAAGGTCTGTGCTGAACTTAACCAATTTAATTATCTCATTCTGGCCAATAACTTCACACCTACCAAAAAATAGCCCCTACAGAATCTCCCACCTTGCCATAAACCACTCATTAGCATTGGCATTAGCATCTGGTGACAAAGCAAACTTCCATTTTGCCGGCTATCAATAGATATTAATTAGCTTAATTAATGTCATTTGGCTGGGCGGATGGAATGGACTCAATGGAGGGCCAAGGCGTCATGCATAACCGAGCTGAAAAGTGGGAAAAGTGCGGAGTGGAATTATCCGGAATAGATCTGCATGATGCGGACGGGGCAGCCAACCGCGTCGTTCAATTAGCCAAATAAGTCAGTTTTGTGTCAATGCGATTGTTGATGTACAGATGGGGGAATGGGTGAAGAGCTTATGGAGATGGTAGATGGATACTCGAATGGTCGCTTAGGCGTGCATAAGGCAAACATCAAAAGGAAATCAGGAGTGAGAGAGAGAGAGAGAGAGAGAGAGAGCGGACAGCATGACAACAACTGAAGGACCATTCACATTCATTCCACAATTGGGGGTTGTCCTACGACTTCCTCTCACACTTGCCCATGATGATGATGATGATGATGAGTATTATGATAGGAATCATCGAGCGCATCGTAGTGCCAACAAGGTTCGAGCTTCGAGCGCTCTCTCTCTCTCTCTCTCGCTGAGGTTCAAAAGAACGCCGCGAGGCGGTGTCAAAAGTCATCCAAAAATTGGGCACAAGCTTCCTTTTGTGTGTGCGTACGGACTGTCAGCTGAATGGCCCTGAAGCAGGAGGTGGAGAAAGGGCACAGCCTGTCAGTGGGCGGTGTGCTTGAGCATATGCTGAGGGCCCACTGTAAGTCACAATGATGATGGAACCCAAAAAGGATCTTTGATTATTTGCATAAAAAAGAACGCATTGCATCGCTTGATTTCGCATTTCGCATTTCGCTTTTCGTTCCCATTTCCTATGCCATTCGATTCCATTTCCATCTGAATTATTCATATACCCCAACACCCCGTCCACTCCATAGAAAGGACAGTGGCAGAGGGCAGAGGGCAGGGGTGAGCATTGAAAAATGTCAACTCAAGTGGTCGTCACATGCGACATCAGCGACATGGGGTAATATGCGCTCTGTGCCAGCCAGCCTGATGACAAGAACTCAAAGTCAGTGGGTGGACAATGAGGTTGTTCAGTGAATATAAATATTTTAAAATAAATATTTCGATTTTGAAGTGCATTATAATTAATACTGAATGAAGTTGTCATGACTTTCTACTACAATTTCACTACCTTCAAAGTGCCTGCCTGCATTTGTGATATTTATATATATTTGGAGACTCACGAACCATTTTTGTAGATTTTTTATACCTAAGAAAATGCAGAGCTTGTACCAATTAAATTCTTCATTAAGTTTGCATCTAATAATGATCTTAAGATTGAGGATTAATAGGAGAGTTCTTCAGGAAAAATTCTACAAAAATATGTATGCAAATCTGTAAGAAATATTATTTTCTGATTAAAAGCATTCCCCATTCGTTGATGCCCAACATATGTGGGTATACTTTACACCCATCTCGATTTGATTAATTGCGCTCTGCCCTAACATATTCAGACTGTCATTTGTGACACATCCTTGCCAGAAAGGGGCAGGCAAACACGTGAAGAGGTGGAACGCAGCTTGTGTTGCATTTTTATGAGCAGCCTCAAGAGCTCCGACATCCATCTTTCAGTTTCTGTACGAGACCGAGATTCGAGTCGGAGTCTGTGCCCGCCTTTTCCTGAGCAGCAGATCAAAGCGTTATGCAAATGATTTTGGCGTGTGCCAGGTCCTGCCTCGCAGTTGTCTGGTGGCCTTAGTCCTTGCCACCTGCGGAGTTACAGCCGAGTGGAACTGGGCTTCGTTGAGTGTCGAGTGGGGGCAGGGACTGCCAGGCAGCGGCAGCTCGCCACTAATTAAGTTGCAAATGTCATGCGGCTGTCGGTGGGACAGTTTAGAGCCCATTAAACGCAACTCGACTGAGTCGCGTAATGCTGCAATAATTGTTTTCATTAGGCGCTGGCTGTGCATCCATTTGCATTATTTAAGCTTAGGATCGCAGGAGACAATCTCAAGGGGATCCCTCATTCAGTTGCTCAGTTATTTGCATATGTGTGGGGGGCTTCCCTTTCTTCGTTTTAATATTAAATCGTTCCCTTACTTAAACATAAATCTCTACCAAATGTAATCCCAATCGCAGCTTTAGCTATGAATATTAAGAATAACCTTAGGAAGATTGCAGAGCTTTCAAACCACAATCTGCTTGGATGTACTCTAAATCCCAAGCACCTTTTATATGTTGCAGATTATTTTGTTGAATAATACCGATATTAATCCGAATCCATCACCGCAAACTCACCTATTTCTATGATAAACATTATCATACCTAAACCTTTTATCCCCTTCCCATGCCCAAGAATAACCATTTTCGATGTAATATTTGAAGAATTGATTTATTGCTTAAACATTATCAATAATATCACTTAAGTTCTAAACAATTTCAAAGCATCCACCGGTTCGATTCGTTTGTTAAAATGTTGTTTAACTCGTTTTTGCAATGGATTAAACACACACAGAGACACATCGAGGGCTACATCTAGTACAACTCTAAGTTACATTTTGCCCGAAACGCTCGCAAGTAGAGGCAAATCCGAAAACATTTCCTATAAGTGTATCAAAGGCGCACTCCAGAGGATCTGTGTAGATTGGCTACACAGAACTCAGTGCGTGGTGGGTTGGGGATGAGGGGAGACATTCAGAACTATCTAGATCGCACGATCATATATCTATACACATAAGGAGAGAGAGCGATGCTTAGGTGTAAAGTGAGTATATCTAAGGGGAATGCAACGTTTATCGTTTTAAGGGGAACAATTCTTATATGGCTATGATCTATCTACAGTTAGACACGCACTTGGACACATATGAAAGAGTTATCATAGAGGTTCGTAGAGTGTTTCTAATATGTGGAGTGTGGGGGCAGTATTGCACAAGTTGAAACCATTTGGTGGCTGTTGTTCTTGGGGTTAGGGGCTCTGGTGGGTAGATCTGGATCTCTGTCATCCTAGAAGAGTCCATTCAGGGCTTGTACAGCGCTGCTCAGCGCCGTGCAGCTTAGCTCTGGGGATGTCGCACCACTCCTGGGTGGGGCAGATTCCCCTGCTTCCTGGGAAGTGCTTGCTGTGGTTGCAGCGGCTGCCGCTGCCACAAACTGCAGTCAATCGATGAGCAAATCGCTCCTGGCCGTCGACGTGGATGTGGCCGTAGTTGTTACCGTCGCCGTGGAGCTGGTCGTGGAGATCGATGCCGTGGCCGTAGCCGAATTCAGACTGTCCGCATAGTATCGCTGTCAAAATACTTTCGCTATGAAGGGCACATTCTCCAGTGCGGCTGCGGAGAGCCTTTGCTGCTGCTGGTGTTGTGGATGCGGCGGCTGTTGGTGCTGCTGCTGCTGCTGGGATGCGGGATGTGCGAGCTGCAGAAAGGCCGATCCCCCGGGATAGTCTCCATGCAGACTGGATGGCGGCACTGCCAGCGGATGGAAGCCCGCCGGCGACTGGTACTGGGAGCGTGGCCAGGCGGGATTGCTCGTCTCTCCGCTGGACAGTGGCGGAGTCGTCACATTGATGGGCGGCGACATGCTGCCCTCGGAGGAGTCCGGCGTCAGCTGACTGGCCTGACTGTAGCTGGAGAGTGGCTCGCGGCGGGTGTACTCCCTGCGCCGCTCGTAGGCCGGCGGCAGATCATCGTCCAGCAGATCCCCACCGATCTCGTGCAGCTTCCGCATGTGCTTCTTCAGGTCAAAGTTGCGGCAGAAGCCCTTGGCGCAGACGCGGCACGTGTAGGGCTTCTTGTCGTTGTGCGTGTGCATGTGGAAGGTGAGGTTGTAGATCTGGTGGAAGGCCTTGTTGCAGATGCTGCACTTGTACGCCTTCTCCCCGCTGTGGGTGAGCTTGTGGTTCTTGTAGTTGCCCTTCTGGTGGAACCCCTTGCCGCAGTACTCGCACACAAAGGGCTTGTAGCCCGCGTGGATCCTCGCGTGGGTGTTCAGTGTGGAGGAGCGATTGAAGGCCTTGCCGCAGGTCTGGCACTTGTGCGGCTTCTCCGACGTGTGGATGATCTTGTGGCGGCACAGGGTGGATGCCTGCCGAAAACCCTTGCCGCAGACTTTGCACACAAAGGGGCGTGCCCCCGTGTGGACGGGCATGTGGCGCGTGAGATTGTAGTGCGCGTTGAAGACCTTTCCGCACTCCAAGCACGAGAAGGTCTTGGGTTTGCCTCCGTTCGCCGATCCCGGGCTGCTGTCATCGAGTGAGCCGTGTGGGGAGGCGGACCTGGAGCGTGGACCTGCACTGGAGGAGGCGGCTCCTGCAGTGGGTGTGGTGGCTCCTGCTGCTGCTGCTGCTGGTGGTGGCGTGGTCACGCCCTGCTCGGGCTGCGAGCGCTTCCTCTTCAGCGAGGGGGCACCCAAGCCGCTGGCATGAGCAGTTCTCTGACCCACCGGTGACTTCTCCAGCGTCTGCTGCATCGTGGGCACCTGCTGGGATTGGGCAGCAGCAGCCACAGCTGCCGCAGCGGCCAGGGGATGCCCCAGATTGCGGCGCAGCGACTGCGAGTGATGGAGACTCGCGTTCAGGGAGGCGGTGAAGCTACTCAGGTGGGCGGCACTGGCTAGAGTCTGCTGCTGAGCGGTGAGTGCGGCGTATTGTGCCGCTGCAGCGGCACACATCAGCTGATTGGGGGCATAGTAGAGCAGGGGATACTGGGAGAGCAGCTCCTGGTGGCGGGAGCTGACGAACTGCTGCACGGCCGAGGCGGAGGGCGACACGGAGGAGGAGATGGCACCGGCCGAGCCGGGCACGTACTTCTTGAAGGCGGAGTCATAGTTGACGGCAGCCGCCGAGTGGGGTGTCTGCTCCAGGCTGATCACCTCAATGGGGCTGCAGGAGCGCTCCGAATCGGCATCAATGTCGGCATCCTCTTCCTCCTCATCGACCAGGATGCTGGCGGATGCTGGACGCTGCACCGGTGGCACAGACACCGATTGATGCGGCTTGTGGTCCGGCTCCATAATCTTGGCAATGGAGAACTTCAGCGGACAGGATCGCTTGGCATCGCTGCTGCTGCCAGTATTGGTGGTGGTGTTTTGGTGTTGATTCATGCCGCCGGCGTTGGACTGATCCGAGGCGGCGCTCTCCATGACGGGACTCTTCGATGGCGGCATCATTGCAATAACACCCGCTGGACTACACGGTTGCATGCCACGCGGACTCTGCAATAAATAAGAACAAAGAGAGAACACAAATGAGTCAAGGATCCTTTCTCTCCACGATGTGTGTATGCAAACTAAGCAACGGGCTATCAATTAATACTGAGCATACGCCTCCATTGTTATCCCTTGGCCAGGATCCAGTCAAGTGCAACTAATGCGCCAATAAATATGCGTTGCGAAAACAAACTCCAGGGAGAGCCTACGAGAGGGCGTGCTCCCAGCGGCAGGACATTTTTGCATATCCCTGGGATCCGGCCATCGTTCATGGCCAGTCAGCGGGTTGCAATTAAAACAAAACCGCATTTGCGTTTAATATGTTTTTTTATTCCCCCGATATTTCCCAATACAAATTTTTTTGCATATTTTTAACCCGTGCGCGGTCCAGATCCCCGGCTCACGCATCACTTAACCCAAACAATGCCCCAAAGGGCTTCAACTCTTTCGCTTTTCTTTTTAGCATATTGCCAACAATCATAACACAATCCAGGGAATACTTATTCTTATTCCCAATCGAAGGTTGTTTTTGGCGCGGGTCTTGGCTTTATTTGCAAATCATTAAATCGTTTACACTTGGATGCAAGTGTAAGGTCTCTGCCGGTCGTCGGTCTATGGTCTATGGTCTCCATCTTCCACATGTGCTTTCGAGTGTTCCTAATGTGCGACATCCGGTGTGATTACCGCTTTGCTTTCCTTTCCTTTCCTCAACCTAACTTAACCCTCCTCGTGATTTTTCTGTTTTTAATTAACTTGATTTGACGCCTCAGTAAGTAGCTCTAAAGGGCACACACACACACACACACACACACACACACTCAAATCCAAGGCTAACTCGGAGTCTGAGTAGTTTCTCTCTCTAAGTGTTGCTTAAGATTAATATGATTAAAAAAGGGGGCTGGTCATATTTCACACGCTGACCTCGAACACAGAGGCAGAGACGGACAACTTTCAATTGAAACTTTGGCACTTTTTCCCCCTTAATTTGAGACCCATATAAGTTCGTTTAGTTCTTGTTTTGGTTGAGTGCCCCGAATTATGTTGGTGTTCTAGTGGCCTCTTGAGAGTTCTCTCTTTTTTGGGGGCAACTCTTGGAGAGTGTGGAATTAAGCTTATTAAATGTGTGGGCGCAAAATATTGTTAATAATTGACAGAACATAGGGGAGAGGTTTGCCACAAGTTGGGGAAGTTTATTAATATTTACATGTGGAATGGTTTAGTTGCAAGTCGATGGATGTAAGATATATTGCAAGATGGTTGCAATGGCTTCTAAAATAGTTATATTATAGCATTCATTGTTGTGTAAATGTTTCCCTAAGAAATTCTAAAAGCTAGTGCCAAAAACTTGCTACAAATCAATCAATCCAATAATTTGAAATATTGTTAATAAATAGATTCAAACTGTAACCAAATATCTCATTAAATCAAATCGAATTTCATTTAATGATTGAAATTAAGTAAATACCCAACAATATTTCAATATAAAATTAAAAGTCGAATCAGTTTCAATTACAATAATTATTGAATTAATTATAAAGAACTGTCACAGCTTTATTACCACTGACCCACTGAGAGGTTTGCACAGAAATATCACCCCATAAAAGGATCAACTTCCCGTCGGAGAAGCACAACAACCCAGGGCGAAACTCCACAAACTTAAGCATAATTATTATCTATAAAGGAATGATACGTACAAAGTAAACCATATTTAGGCGCTGCCTATGTGGATATCCAATGCGTGTTGGCTGGACGACAGACAGAAAGACACTCTGCAGCCACTCTTCAAATACACTCGATGATGGACAACTCCCACACAATTATTAAAACACACACAACAATTTTCAACTTGTTTAAAGTTTGTTCTTTTTATTTTTCACTGGCTATTTTGTTGTTTTTGACTCGTAAAAAGTTATTTGCTCGGGTGGAATACGTAGACGGAGCGCGATTGTGGAAGGGAAGCGCTGTGTTCAGCACAGGATCAGCGACCGAAGCGGAATGATGGCAAACACACGGGAGTGCGGGCCTTAAGAAATATGAAAAGGACACACGCAAAACGAAAGGCAGGCCCGACAGGAGCAGCTCAGCTGGGAGTGAGCAAAAGGACGAGCGTGCCTGCTTCGGCAGAGGGTTGCGAAACAACCCCCGAAAATGAAAATCTCTGAGCGAAAGAGAAAGGCAGCTGTACGGGGAGAGAAAGAGAGAGTGAGTGAGCCACCAAGGGACAGAGCAGGATGGCCAGCTTGAGTCCTGCGAAGGGAGAACTTCATTATGACGTTGAGATTGGATGGGTCCTAACGCTCTGGCGTCGACGGCGACTGAGCCATCGACTGCATTATGAATGAAAAGACAAAATGTCGAATTGGAATATTATAGAGAAAGGCAGAGCAAAAGAGAGAGAAAGAGAAAGAGAAAGCAAGAGCAAGAGAGAGGGAAAGAGGCAGAGGCTGAGACCGCCCCTAAAATATTTATACGAGATAGAGCGGTGAGGGAAGAGCCAACGGAAGATACATAGAGAGGGTGTACCAGCAGGAGGAGAAGAGTGAAAGGGAGTGCTTAGGGTAGAGAGAGTGTGTGACAGAGAAGGCTATACGGGCTATGGCAACCTTTTGGCCGTATTCCTTTCACACTTGATTTTGGATGAGTCGCAGACACCAAAAAAATGGCAGCACAGATACCCAGAGCAGACCCCTCCAACCGTACTCCTCCCTCGCTCGAGTTGACTTTTTCCCACTAGTCCAACAGTCAAAACCCCCCACCCCCATCCATACCAATCTAAGCTCTTGTCTTTTGTTGTGCCTTTCAATTGTCGTTTTGGCATTTCGTTTTATCAGCGTCTTTGTTTGCTCACCTTTCGCCTGCCAGCGGGCAAGGCGCACTCCTCGCACTCTTTCACTCTCTCTCTCTGCCATTTTATATGTGTATCTCTCGTTTCCTTTAAGTTGTATGCCTTTTCCCCAGCTCAAGAATCCCCTTCCGTGCACTAGGCAAATATAATCTCATATTCATTTTGATGATATCTCTCTCTCCGCTCCCACGCGACTTTCTTCAAGTTTGTTTGCTCTGGGAGCGTCCTATCCGAGAGGCCTGGCAATGCGCATCCTGGAGTTGTGCAGTTGCAGCTAACGGGACACACAAAAGCACAACTGTTTAGGGGTCTACGGGCAAAAGGGACAGGCTGCGCGAAACGAGTGAGCAGCCGCCAAGGACATACGATAGTAGCCGCCGCCATTTTCATTGCATTTTTATGTAAACGAAAACATCCTCGACTTTAGCTCATTGTGGCGACTCGACTCTTGTGTGGGGAAATCGATATGCAAATATCCGTCCTTTGTTGATTAGATATCTGCATTGAAATTGTATATTTTCGAGGAAAAGGGGAGGATGTTACTTGGAATAGTGTGGGAGAAGTGATGGAGAGATGGAAATGCAAGAAGAATTCGGATCCGAGTTGTCTCTTGGGTAGAATAGAATAAAATGTGTGCTTAAATTCCCCTATTAACCCTCGAAACGTGCGCCCATGACAACCAAAAAAGGTCATTCGTATTTCATTTCCACATTCACATTGGCATTGGCCTCCCTGCCAGATTGGGGGCCACTCTAGTGCTCGGGTGTGCAACCTCCATGTGGACTTGTTTGCCGGCAACTTGTGTCCAGCCGAGTTCTGTTTCAACAAACTCGCTTGTCACTCATCATAAAATAGCCAGAAACAAACTATCATCATCGTCATCCAGAAAGTGATGATGATTACATGCACATTTTTAGTTGCAAAATGACTATCAAATGTAGAAATGTGCAATCTGCATTAAGTTAAATAAATAAAACGGGGGGAAAAAGCTTTTACTGCAACAGCAAAAAAAAATAACGAAAAAAAAACTGGATATGCAACAGCGAAAACGACAACGGCCTCTGATCCACCTTAAACTCACACGTTGGCATTTCCGGCTTGCTTTTGTGTTCCCTCTGAAGTTCCCATTCATTCTCCATCTGAAGCTTCTTCTCTCGCTGCTGACACTCTTGCATATTATGTATGCTGTTCCAAGGGGGATGTGTCCAGTCTGTTGGTTCATCTGCTGCATCCTATACTGTTCCCACTCATGCTTAAACAGCTACTCCACTTCTTGCTCCATTTATACTCCCTCTTAGTCGAACTATTCAATTTCCTCTCCACAGTCACTTCCTCTTTACATCCAAGATTTGAAAAAATAATATGACGCCACCTCATAAATACTCTCCGAATGGTCATATCTTTTTCAACACAAAATCCAAGAAAAAAGGAAGCTAAACGAAAGAACGGGAACGCTTCACCTCATAAAAATACACCTTGTGGCTGCTAAACCACCTGGTCCATCTGCTACTCCCTCCCACTCATGCTTCATTTGGCTCCACGCTCTCAGCTTCTGTGTCTCTGCCTTACTCCCACTCAGGCTCCCTCTGCTGACCAACTCTGCTGACAACGAACCGGTAATCCCTCTCTTGCTCCATCTACTCTCTCTCTCATTTTTTGCGATTCAAAGGCCATGCAAGCATGACCAAACACGATGCTGGCTTACACAAACAAGCACACACACTCGGAAAGAGAGAGGCAGCAAAAAGAGGTGACAGAAGGCGACCCGATGGAAGGTGAAGACGGCCACGGTGAGGCAGAGGAGAAGAGAGTGCAGCTCGTCCAGAGGGGCGGTCGGATAGCAGGGAGGGCAGTGAGTGCAATGGTCTGGCAGAGTGGACTAACTGTAAATGCAGAGCAGCGCAGCAGCAGCACCAGCAGCCAACTACAACAACAAAAGCTTGAAAGTCCCGCAAAATGTGCAAAAATAAAATATCAGAGCAACAACAACAACAAAAAGAGCCTGCAAAAGTGCAAAAGAGGGAGACGGACAGAGATGCAAATAGTGCAGAGTGCAAAGGTAACACAGAGTGCCAGAGTGGAACACACCGAGCGTAAGAGGGAGAGGGCAAGAGAGTGAGTGCGAGTGCAAGCTCATTTTGTTTGTTTCATCAGGCTTCAA